CCTCTTTCAGCTTCAGATAGCCCCAGACGTTCCTTGCTGTGTGGCAGCATAACTCTAATCTCTGCCTCCATCTTCAGATGGCCATCTTCCTTCTGATTAGTGGGGTCGTGTAAATTAGTAGGGCAAAAGGAACATCTGTGGGTCTTAAAGAGAATGAGAAACTGCTCCATGAAACCCCTCATAATTCTATTTGGAATCTTAGGTGATTTTTAAAATTGATTATTTATGCATGCCAATTTGCTTCTATGAATAAACTAGTATAAGTAACAAAAGGCAGTTTACTATAACAGTTTTGTGTGTGATTAAGAAAGATCAAATTCTTAATTATTTCTTGGAGGGGAAAACATAAGTATGTAAGGATTGGAAATTGAGAATTTAATTTAACTGAAATTGGCAATTCAGTTTATGTTTAAGGAAATTTGGTAAAATCTTATTTAGGTTGTAGAAGCAAAATTAACTCAATACATGCAATGTTACATTAACCCAATTAAGGCAACATTGGTTTTGGCATTTATTTCTTGTTATGAATTGACCCAAAATAGACTTAGAAGATATTACATGAAATGTCAGAAACTTGATTACAAAACACACATGCAATATTTGACAGATGTAATTGAGAGGAATATCAGACCACGAAGAGGTTGGTATACAACTCATTTTTCAGACTATGGAAGGTTTGATTAAACGTATGTCAATTCTTTCATAAAATAACTATTGTTTTACATCATTAGACCTTAGAAATATAGAACAGAGTGGAGCAGAATAGACAAAAATGAAAATAGCAGGTTGAGATGTAGGACAAGCAGCATGTTTTCTAATCACATTTCTTCCAATTGCACTCAACAAATATTCACTAATCACTGTCAAGAAATGAGGGCTGTTTTAGAGGGTGGATCAAAGAATGTGGAAAATATTCATTTGCTTGGCTAAGATTCCCTAGCTACATATGACCAATTGTCTTAATCAGATCAGGCTGCTATAACATGTATAACATAAACTAGGTGGCTAAAACAACAAACATTTAATTCTCACGGTTCTGGAGTTTGACAAGTCCAAGATCAAGGAGCTGGCAGATCCTATGTCTGGTGAGGGCCTGCTTCCTGGTTTTGTAGATGGCCATCTTTTAATTGTATTGTCACATGGCAGAGAGCAGAGAGAGAGGAAATAATCTCTCATATGTCTTTTGATAAGGGCATTAATTTCATTCATGAGGCCTCTACCCGCATGATCGAATACAGTCATACTTTGGAAATATTGTAGTATTTATTCCACACCACTACGATAAAGCTGATGTCGCTATAAGATGAGTCACACAAAATGTTTGGTTTTTTTAGTGTATATAAAAGTTATATTTAGGCCGGGCGCGGTGGCTCATGCCTGTAATCCTAGCTCTCTGGGAGGCTGAGGCGGGCGGATCGTTTGAGCTCAGGAGTTCGAAACCAGCCTGAGTAAGAGTGAGACCCCGTCTCTACTAAAAATAGAAAGAAATTAATCGAACAACTAAAAATATATAGAAAAAATTAGCCGGGCATGATGGCGCATGCCTGTAGTCCCAGCTACTTGGGAGGCTGAGGCAGAAGGATTGCTTAAGCCCAGGAGTTTGAGGTTGCTGTGAGCTAGGCTGACGCCACAGCACTCTAGCCTGGGCAAAAGAGTGAGACTGTGTCTCAAAAAAAAAAAAAAGTTATATTTACATTGTACTGTAGACTATTAAGTAGGCAATAGCATTATGTCTAAATATGTACATATACTTAATTAAAAAATACTTCATTGCTAAAAAATGCTAACAATCATCTGAGCATTCAGCAAGTTATAATCTTTTTGTTGGTGGAGAGTGTTCATGGCTATTGACTGCTCAGGGTGATGGTTGCTGAAGGCCTGAGTGGCTGTGGGAATTTCTAAAAATAAGACAATGAAGTTTGCCTCACTGACAGACTCTTTCTTTCGCAAAAGATTTCTCCGTAGCATGCAATGCTGTTCGATAGCATTTTATCCACAGAACTTTTTTCAAAATTGGAGTTAATCCTCTCAAGCCCTGCCACTGCTTTACAATCCAAGTTTATGTGATCTCTTAAATGCTTTGTTGTTATTTCGACAAGTTCATAGCATCTTTACCTGGAGTAGTTCCCATCTCAAGAAGCTCTTTCTTTTAGCATTTGTAAAAGCAGTTTTCAGTCATTCAAGTTTCATCATGAGATTGCAGCAAGTCAGTCACATCTTCACACTCCTCTTCTAATTCTAGTTCTCTTGCTGTTTCCCCTACATCTGCAGTTACTGTCTTCACTGAAGTCTTGAACTCCTCAAAATCATCCAGGAGGGTTGGAATCAACTTCTTCCAAACTTCCATTAATGTTTATATTTTGATCTCCTTTTTGAATCATGAATGTTCTTAATGGCCTCTAGGATGGTGAATCCTTTGCGAAATGTTTTCAATTGACTTTGCCCAGATCCATCAGAGGAATCACTATCTGTGGCAGCTATAGTCTTATGAAAGATATTTTTGAAATAATAAGACTTGAAAGTCAAAATTACTCCTTGATGTATGAGCTGTAGAATGGATGTTGTATTAGCAGGCATGAAAACAACACTAATATCCTTGTACATCTTTATCAGAGATCTTAGGTGGCCACATGCATTATCAATGAACAGTAATATTTTGAAATGAATCTTGTATCTAAGCAATTGGTCTCCACAGTGGGCTTAAAATATTAGTAAACCATGCTGTAAACAGATGTGCTGTCATCCAGGCTTTGTTGTTTCATTTATAGAGCACAGGTAGAGTAAGGTTAGCATAATTGTTTAGAGTCCTAGAATTTTCAGCATGGTCAATGAGCATTGGCTTCAATTTAAAGTCACCAGTCGCATTAGCCCCTAACAAGAGAGTCAGGCTGTACTTTGAAGCTTTGAAGTAAAAAATTGACTTTTCCTCTCTAGCTGTGAAAGTCCTAGATGGCACCTTCTTCTATTGTAAGGTTGTTTGCTGTAGCCACCTTTATTAGTGATCTTAGCTAGATCTTCTGGATAACTTGCTACACCTTGCACTTTTATGTTATGAAGACAGCTTCTTTCCTTAAACCTCATGGACCAACTTCTGCTAGCTTCCAACTTTTCTTCTGCAGCTTTCTAACCTCTCTCAGCCTCCACAGAGTTGAAAAGAGATAGGGCCTTGCTCTGTATTAGGCTTTGGCTTAAGGGAATGTTGTGGCTGGTTTGATCTTTTATCTAGAGCATTAGAACTTTCTCTATATCAGCAATAAGGTTGTTTCAATTTCTTATCATTCATGTTTTCACTGGAGTAGCACTTTTAATTTCCTTCAAAAATTCTTCCTTTGCATTTACAACTTTGCTAACTGATGTAAGAGGCCTAGCTTTCAGCCTATCTTGGCTTCTGACATGCCTTCCACACTAACCTTAATCGCTTCCAGCTTTTGATTTCAAGTGAGAGATGTACAATTCACTTGGACACATAGAGGCCATTATAGGGTTATTAATTGGCCTAATTTCAATATTATGTCTCAGGGAATAGGGAGGCCTGAGGAGAGGGAGAGAGCTGGGGGAACATACGATCAATGGAACAGTCAGAACATACACAACATTAATCTATTAAGTTTGATGTCTTATATGGGCATGGTTCATGGCACCCCCAAACAATTACAATAATAATTAAAATTTTTGAAATATTGTGATACTTTCTAAAATTTTGATAAAGACACAAAGCATACACATGCTGTTGGAAAAATGGTGCTGATCAACTTACTTGACACAGGGTTGCCACAAAACTTCAATTTGTAAAAAAAACTGTAGTATTTGCAAAGTGCAAAAGGTGGAGTGTAATCAAATGAGGTATGCCTGCAACTTCCAAAGATCCCACCTCCTAATACCATAATATTGGGTGTTGGGCTTCAACATATGAATTTATGGATGAGTAGAGTGTAAGGATACAAACAATCATCCCATAACCCAAATGCATATGAAAGAAGTGGAATCATTCAATTCACTTTTGTGTTTTCTAGGGGAAATACAGCATAAAGAAATTTTAAAATATTCCCAGATTAATGAAGTCATAATTATTTTTCATCATATATTTATAACTTTTTCTCCTGTAACTATATTTTAATAGTCTATTTTCTCCTTTTTATCTTTCCTCATACTACTGTACAATGTTTTTTGATATCTTTTGACCAATTTTCATCTTTCTAGTAAAATTCTAGTGTGATGTATGAGTTAAAATGTTATCTGTATTCCAAATCTAATACAACGTCATCTATAATCTGCTCTACTGGGGTTCCTCTTTCTCAAAGCTTCAGTTTAAACTTTTCACTTTCATTGGGGGCATTCATTCTCATGTGGTCACTCAGCAGACTCTACTGACTGCCTCAAAAGATGCATTTTATTTTACTTGGCATATGTTTAAACTCAACATTATTTTATTTGGCAAATTTTGGATGGAACTACTTTCTGAAACAGTTGAAAATAAAAATCAACATATCTCAAGATGTTTGAGAAGGAAATATTCTTTCTATATTTTGGTGGTAGGCTGTTGTGGTTACTGAAGTTTAAAGCTATGGCAAAGGAGCTTACATGGAGATGAACTTCAAATTTCAAGTTTTTCAAAGAATATTAACTTCCTTTCAAGTCATGTCAATATACATTAATAGAACATTCCCACACATATGTCATCAGTTGTTTTTTACAACAATTGAAAATAGGCTTCAGCATTCTGAGTTCTGTGTTATAACTGTCTTCAACAGTAGGATGAAAAGAACAGAAATAAGAGTTCAAAAGCATCAACTACAACAATTAGAAAGTGGCATTACTGGAGTTTACTTGATGTTCCTTTGGTAGACAAAACCTTTTTTCAGCTTGATTTGTTTCAAAAAGTAGATGTCATCACCTATGAGTGTATACCAAGTTAAGAAGTACTGGGAATATTACCAATGGAATCTTGCAGGAAGATTGGCTGTGATGTCATAGACCCTTGAGGGAAACTTCTGAAAGTGAGATTTAGTTATAATAGAGACTAAACAAGAAAGATGTTTACTGAATAAGGTGGGATCCAACAAGAGTGTAGTATAGAATGCAATAATTTATGAATTACTCTTTTTTGAGGGAGTTCAGCAGGACAACACTTAATGAAGAAAGGTAAAGGTTTAACTATCTGGTACATTTGTGATTCTTGATGATTACTTACTTAAAGATTAATGAATTTGAAATTTACCAGCCTTAGAAATGGAAGAAAGTGATGAACCTGATCAGCCTATCTCAGCAGGGAGGCAAGAAATTAGAAAGAGAAGACGACCCAGTCAACCAATGGTAAACAAATCCCAGCAGACTGAAGTGACAGAGAAAAAGAAACACACGGCCATACCACAATCATCTGGCCCCAAAGCTACCCTTAGTATTGGTAATATTCCTGGAAGCAAAGGCAACTACTCTGCCAAAGACTATGAGTCTCTTAGAGTGTCTTCTCAACTTCAGCAAACTTGGACAAAGAGAAAGCATGGACAGGAAATGACTGATAAATCTTTGCAGACAGACACTAGTGTAGAAGAGAAAAAAGAAGTCAAGTTAGTTGATGAAACAATGATACCTGAAGAAAAGCCAGCTGGTGTTGGAGAAGCAGCTGCTGAATTGCCAGAGAGTATTCAGGAAGTGGAAATTCCACCACACAGACACTCAATTCAACTAAAAATCGATAGATCTCAGCAGACCAGTTGTACTGGAGACTGGACCATGATGAATATGCCTCCAGAAGAAAAAGTGGACAAGGAACAGCAGACATACTTTAGTGAATCAGAAATAGTGGTTATTTCCAGGCCAGGTAGTTCTTTTACAAACTCAAAGGAAGGTGCTCAGAAACGTAAATCTTCAGGAAAGATTTTTGTTAGTGAACATCCTGAATTTCAACCAGCAACATGTAGCAATGAAGAAATTATGCAGAAAAGTATCAGCAGACCTTCATTAACTCAGGAAACCAAAAAAGGTTCTCCAGTAGTTTTAGAAGATGAGCTTAGGCAAGAGGTTGTAGAAGAGGGTTCTGTTGATAAAAAGAAGTCTTCAGCTGAAATAGAGCCTCCACCAACAGCAAAAGTCCCTACGGAAGCGCAGCATTCCCCAACTGAAGAGGCCACTGCAGAAGTAGAGCCGAGCCCTGCTGAGGAGACTCTTGTCCAAGTACAGACTCAAACTGAAGAAACTCAAACTGAAGAAACTCCTGCTGAAGTTCAGCCTCTACCAGCTGAAGAGCCTTTTTCAGAAGAACCTCCTGGTGAACTAAAGCCCCAACCAGCTGAAGAGATTCCTTCAACAGAGCCTCCTGCAGAAGTTCAGCCTCCACCAGCTGAAGAGTCTTTTTCAGAAGAACCTCCTGATGAACTAAAGCCCCAACCAGGTGAAGAGATTCCTTCAACAGAGCCTCCTGCTGAAATTCAGTCTCCGCTAGCAGAAGAGGTTCCTGTTGAAGTACAGCTTCCTCCAGTTGAGAAGGCCCTTGGCAAGGCCTCAGATAAAGTAGAGCATATTACTGCTGAAGAGATCCCTGCTAAAATTCAGCCTCCATCAGCTGAAGAGACCATGGCAGAAGAGGCCTCTGATGATATTCAGTTTCTAGCAGCTACTGAGGCTCCTTCAGAAGAAGTCCCTGCTGAAGTTCAGATGCCACTATCCAAGAAGCTTTCAGTAGAATCCCTTGCAGAAGAACCCCCTGATGAAGTCCAGTCTCCACTACTGGAGGAGGCCCCTGCAGAAGAGGTCCCTGCTGAGGTTCAGCCTCCACCAATTGAGGAGGCTCCTATAGAAGAGGTCCCTCTTGAAATTCAGTTTCTACCAGCTGAGGAGGCTCCTACAGAAGAGACCACTCCTAAAGTTCAGTCTCCACCAGATGACGAGGCTCCTACAGAAGAGATCCCTCCTGAAGTTTGGTTTCCACCAGCTGAGGAGGCTCCTACAGAAGAGACCACTCCTGAAGTTCAATTTCCGCCAGATGATAAGGCTCCTATAGAAGAGACTCCTGCTGAAGTTCAGTTTCGACCAGATGACAAGGCTCCTATAAAAGAGACTCCTGCTGAAGTTCCACTTCCCCCAGCTGAGGAGGCTTCTACAGAAAAGACCACTCCTGAAGTTCAGATTCCACCAGCTGAGGAGACCCCTGTTGAAGAGGCCCCCATTTACGAACGTCCTCCACTAGCTGATTTGCTTCCTGTGGAAGACTTTCCTATACAAGAGATTTCTGCTGAAATTTCACCTCTAGTAGAGAATGTGTCTACTGAACTTCAATCACCCCAGGTAGAAGGCATCCCAGTAAAATTAGGGTCAGTTGATTTGATAGATGATACAAAATTTCAAGAGGTTTTAAAAACGGATTCTGTTCCAGAAGATTTGTCTAATACCAAAAATGGACAGACTCCCACTCTTGAAATAGAGGGCGTCATTAATATAGAATTAAGAAAGACCTCCTCCTGAACTGTAGTCAGGTCCCATCTAAGATAGCAATTAGAAACTAGGTGGTTCTGGAAGTATATATTTTGGAAAAGGGTAGGCATCTGGAAGTAGCTTTGTAAATAGGGTAAATGAAAGAGAACTTCAAAACTTGTAGTGCAGGCTGGAAAACAAACAATAAAAACTATAGCAGTTTAAAAGCACTTATGTTATTTTCATTAAAGTCTATAAAAATCTGTAAAATACCTATTTTTAAATGAAATAAGCTCATGATTGAAATCATTACTTAAAATATAATTTCTGTGGTAAACCCTGTTGATAAGGGTAAAGTTGCAGCCATATTTTCTTTTCTTTGCCTTCCCTTTGTAAGTATATGTAGTTTTCAGTGGAAAAGCCACATTCTTTTTTGCAGCTCTGTCATCTACTTTAAATTCCTTGAATTTTAGTCCCACATCTAAAGTTATGCGGTGTTCTCTTTCTCCTTATTATAATTCATCATATCTCTTATTCTCTTTCCATTCAATTCCTTCTGAGACAAGCGTTCCTTTCCTGGTTTCAGCCTAAGTGTTCTTCCTTATCTTCCTACATATTTTACATTTCAGTGTCTGCATAGGGAAACTTATTTCCTTTGTAAAAATCTTCAGTGCAATGAAATGAAGATGGTTGTAGATGAAATGTTTTTTTGAAAGTGTGTAAATACGAAGAAAAATATACTTAGAAGACCTTGAGGGCACATTCCTGTTTGGTTTTAATTTCATTTCAACTGAGAATGTGATGAGTCCTTGGAAACTTGGCTTTTGTTTTTTTGCACTCTGAACTTGTGATGAAGAGCAACCTAGAATAAAATTGAATTACTGTAGTAGTAGCCACTGAAGTTTTGAAAGAGCATCAAAGCTTAACAATACTATAGTGTTCTAAGATGTCTGTTATTGAAGGACAATTAGTTATTATGGTTATGACAACTTTTGGGAAAATATTTTGTGTAGCTACAAATTGTTGTAGTATGCTGAAATGTTGAGATGATTCTCTTAAAGTTTTAAAAATTTGATCAGTGTATTTTTCTGTTTAGTGAAAACTCTAGGTTGATGATTCCAACTGTGTTAAGCTTTGATGCCCTATAGTTGTTGGATTTTTGTCACATTTTTCATTGCCCCACTAGCTAAAAATGTATATTTTAAAGCAAGTTTTTGAGAATATTATAAAAAAATTGCAAGCACATTTTCTTGTATGTGCCAGATTTGAAGTTGAAAAACATTATTATCTAGACAATGTAGAATGAAGGTTGCTCTTTGGAAATTTCTAAGTCCTTTACATTTTATGTTTTCTGAGATACTTAAATCCAGTTAAACTTGATTTTCTAAATTAGAAGGTCTTTTTAATAAAGATGGAGTTTATCAACTGGCAACATTAGAAAACTTTCTCAACACACAACACGGTGGATCACACACTTAAGCCCAAAGCATGAAACTATAAGAATTCTAGAAGAAAATGTTAGAAAAATTCTTATAGACATTGGCCTAGGGAAAGAATTTATGAAGAAGACCCCAAAGGCAATCACAGCAACAACAAAAATAAATAAATGGGACCTGATCAAATTAGAAAGCTTCTGCACAGCCAAGGAAACTATCACAAGAGCAAACACACAACTTACAGAATGGGAGAAAATATTTGCATGCTACACATCCAATAAAGGGCTAATAACTAGAATCTATATAGAACTCAGTAAAATCAGCAAGAAAAAGCAAAAACTTAAAACATTTAAAAGACCATTAAAAAGTGGGCAAAGGACATGAACAGAAACTTTTAAAAAGAAGACAGAGTAATGGCCAACAAACATCTGAAAAAATGTTCAACATCTCTAATCATCAAGGAAATGCAAATTAAAACCACAATGAGATATCACTTAACTCTAGTGAGAATGGCTTTTATCAAAAAGTCCCAAAACAATAAATATTAGCATGGATGCAGAGGGATAGGAAAACTCAGACACTGCTGGTGGGACTGCAAACTAGTACAACCTTTGTGGAAAGTAACATGGAGATACCTCAAAGAGCTAAAAGTAGAATTACCGTTTGATCCAGCAATCCTATTACTAGACATCTACCCAAAGGGAAAAAAAACACTCTATAAAAAAGACATCTGCACTCCAATGTTTATAGCAGCACAATTGACAGTTGCAAAGATGTGGAAACAACCCAAGTGCCCATCAATCCATGAGTGGATTAATAAAATGTGGTATATGTATACCATGGAGTTCTACTCGGCCACAAAAAACAATGGCGATCTAGCACCTCTTGTATTATCCTGAATAGAGCTGGAGCCCATTCTTCTAAGTGAAGTATCACAAGAATGGAAAAACAAGCACCACATGTACCTCTATCAAATTGGTATTAACTGATCAATACCTATGTGCACATATAGTAGTAACATTCATCGAGTGTCAGGCAGATGGGAGGGGGGAGGAGGGAATGGATATATTCACACCTAATGGGTACGATGTGTACCATTTGGGGGATGGACATGCTTGAAGCTCTGACTCGGGTGGGGCAAAGGCAATATATGCAACTTAAACATTTGTATCCCCGTAATATGCTGAAATAAAATAAAATAAAATAGAATAGAATAAAATGAGGAAAATAAAAAAAGAAAACTTTCAATACTTAAAAGTTTGATGTTAGCTGGAGCTTATGTATAAAATTTGGTCAGTGTATGAATACAAATGGTATACTGTATAAATAGTAAACAAGTATATTTGGAAGATTCCAGAGGCAAAATTAGAAAGCACTATAAATGTTAAGTTACAGCAGAGGTAGCTGTGAAAATTTAGGGCAAGAAACATTGATTTGAAGTTTTTGAGAGATAAGTGTAAGTAAAAAAAAAAAGTCTCCTGAATAACTAGAATCAAGAGAGATTTTGATTTTTAAGATCAGGTATTAGCAAAGATTCAGGGTGAGCAGAAATATATACAGGTGATATCATAAGTGCCATAAAAATGGCACCAGGATACTAACAATTAAAAATTTTAAAAATATATGAGATATTTTAAAAACAGCTTTATTGAGTTATAGCCTACATACAACAAATTGCATTTATTTAAATTGTACAGTTTGATGAGTTTGACCTATGTATACCACTGTGGCACAATCATCATAATTAAGATAATCAACATGGTCATCACTCAAAAGTTCCCACCGTGATCATTTGTAATTTCACTTTCTCTCCTCCCACCCCTCCACCCCATAGATAGGTCCCTGAGCAATCACTGATCTGTTTTCTGTCACTACAGATTATTTTGCATTTTTCTAGACTCTTATGTAAATAGAATTCTGTAGTGTATATTCTTCTTTTTATTTTATTATTTTGGTCTGGCTTCTCTAAGTAAATACAATTATTTTGAGATTCAGTCATGCTGTTGTATATAGCAATATTTTGTTCCTTTTCATTGCCAGACTGTATTCCATTATATAAATATTGTAAAATTTTTAAATTCAATCACTTGGCCATTTGGATTGTTTCCAGTTTTTGGCTATTACAAATAAAGCTGCTATGAACATTCATGTATGAGTCTTTGTGTGGACATATGCTTTCATTTTTCTTGAGAAAATACCTACAATAGAGTTAAACATAGGCTATGTTTAACTTTTTGTAAAACTCTGGAACTATTTTCCCAAGTGATATATTATTTTATGTTCTGACTAACAGCAGCTGGTGTTGAAGTTGTTCCACATCCTTGATGACACTTGGTGTGCATTGAATATAAAGACTAACATCCTAATAAAAACAAATTTTCTGACCAATGAACATATTTATGAATATATATCTCCATTTATTTAGGCTTTCTTTAAGTCCTCTCAGATAATTTGTAGTTTTTGGTTTTATCAAATTTATCCCTAAGTATTCCTGCTATTAAATTTTTTTTTCATTTTACCTTCCAATCTTTTGTTACTATTATGTAGAAATACAATTAACTGTTTGTATTGGCTTTGATACTGATATTATGCTTTTTTGTCATAAAATATACTTGTTTGATTTGATCCTTTTAAATTTATTAAACTTGTTTTATGGCCCGACATGTTCTATCTTGGTAAGTGCTCTATATTAATCTAAAATATTCTGCTGTTTTTGGTTGAGGGTTTTAGAAATGTCATTTTTAGAGTCAATAATTGGTTGATAGTATTGTTCCTTTATATCATTCCTGACTTTCTATCCACCTGTTCTATAGACCATTGAGACAGGTATGTTGAAATCTCTGACTATAATTGTGGATTTACGTATTTCTTCTTGAAGTTCTATCAGTTTTTGCTTCATGTATCTTGAACTTTTGATATTAGCTGAATAGATGTTTAGAATTATTATGCCTTCTTGCTAAAGACCTCCTTTATTTCTGGTAATAGCCTCTCCTCAGTGACATTGTCACTTGTGTAGTTTAGATTCTTAATATCTTTGCATTGCTTATTATGGCCATTATCTGCTTTTTTATTTGTCTTTCTTCCTCTCATCTTTCTTATTATTTGCAGAATTATTTTTTAAAACACAGATCTACTTATGCAGTCATTTGCCTACAGAATAAAATCTAGATCCCTTAAAAGGATAGTCATGGCTCTTCACAGTGTACTCAAACCTACTTTCTATCACTCTCACTAAGTATAGGGTGGTGGTGTAAAGAAGAGGTTAAGAGCATTTCTGCCAGTTTGCAAATCTTGACTTCACTTATGAGCTGAGTGGCTAGGTCAGGTTAATTACCTTCCCTGTGCCTCAGTTTACTCATCTGAAAAACAGACATAATAAGAACAATACTTAACCAATAGGATTATTGTAACAAGTGAGTTAATCCATACTAAATTCTTAGAAAGGTGCTTATTACACAGTAATCAACAAATACTGGCTCTGGCTCTCATGGTTATTACCTGCATATTTCCTTTCTTGTGATATCCCCGTTCTTGTTGTACCTGACAATGATTGTGATACTTCAATGCCTCTTCTTTTTAGTCATTTGTTTTAGTCATTTGTATGCTGGACATTTT